TAGTAATGAACAACTGCACAGTTAAAGTCACTTGAAAGCCATCTTTCAATACTACTGCTTAGTAGGGCTGTGTGAAACGGGCCCTATATGATTCAGATTCGGATTGGACCCAAATCGGGGACACTGATTTGACTCATTGATTCAGATAACTGTCCCCGATTCAATTCAGCCAAAACCGAATCTGAATATTCGGACACAGGCACAGCTTTAAAAGTTTCCTTCTACAGACCCTGTGGTAGCAGTACAGCTTGTGAATTCTGTCATGCTAGGGTGCATGGAGCATCCCACAAGAGCACCTGGGGGGTGGGTCTCCTCCATGCTCGGCAGTGGACCCAGAAATGTACTTCTGGTCCAGTTCCAGGTCTGCTGTCGAGTGTGCTGGGGAGTCCCCCGTGCTTCTGTGGGACACTGCCTCTGCCCCAGCATTGTACCGTTCACAGTCCCTGCTACCTAGAGTTATATAGAAAAAAACATTTAAAGCTTTATTTACGTCTGAGTTGCCGAAACTGTCCGAATCTCTCTGAATCAATTTGGAGGATCCTGAATCAATTTGGAGAGATTAAAGAGTCCTCTGATTCAATTCGGATTCAGAGATTCGACCACCAAACAGGGCATATCTCTGCCGAATCAAATCAGGGACTGAAGATTCGCACAGCCCTCCTGCTTAGTAACTCTGGTTTTATGCAGTCATTTAATACTTGTTTATACAAGTGCTAAATGAGCGTGCAGTAACAAGACCACCACCAGCATCTCGTGTAGACACAGCCAGGTTGTATTCAATCAGGCACTAAAACCTGGAACTCCTCAAAATCAGAGATTCCTGTTGGGCAGATGGCATGCAAGTTGGTGTTGTAGAAACAAGGGACAGGACTGATAAAAAGAAACCAGACACAGGAGATAGTCATGCAGCAAAATTGTTCATAAGAATAAGAAGTGGAGCACACAGAGAGTTCATGGAGAGCGGAAACATAAAGGGTAGATTTGGCTTATAAATACTCATGTTTAGGATCTGTTTCCATTAGTCTACCAAAGTGGAAAATTGGTGTCACTGTACCAGGGAAACAGACCTTCCGAATATGAGTTCTGAGGAGATGGAATTGGGCACTACTGCCTCCATTTGCATGTACACACTGGGTTGCAGACAGGGCCCGGGCTTCCTCTTCTTCATAGAGACTTGCTTAAAATCTGGGATTGCAGATCAGTTCTGTTTAGGATTGATTTGTCTTAATATTGACAAGCTTTCAACCAAACCAGGTTAGGTGGGTGCAGTGACTGGAAGGGAGACATGCTTTCTGTTTTTAATAGTATAGCACGGAAGGGCTGGAGGGATTTGAGGGCTGGGATTATGTTTCTGAAATGTAGCATAAGTGAGGTATTATCAGTCATGCGGCCTGGTGGAAAAGGACCAGGTGCTCTATCTGAGCAAGAATAGCAAACACCCAGTCTGGGGTAGGAGGACAGACCAGGGCACACAGACATGCTCCAGGCCTGATGTTTTCTCTGTGTAGGACTCTTCAGTGGGAATTGAGTCATGCTGGGTGTGGGGGTCTGCACAGGAAGAATTTCACCAGAGGGTTTGCAAATAAGGAATGGAGCGGAAAAAACTCAGGAGGCAAATATTATGCTACAAAGGAATTTTAATGCACAGAAGAACTTGCGTGTAAAGACACAGAAGGGATACAGAAGAGAGAGCCAATGTTCCCAAGACTGTCCAAAGGGCCACAACCGGGATTCTATGCCTGTTGACACCAAACCTCTTGTACGCCTTTGTGGCTGTGTCAAGTGGTCTGCAATGGATTACAAATGGACTATAAGGAGGATGAGGCTTCCTTTTAAATGGCAGCACAGAAAGAAGAGGTCTTACTGCTTAACAGTGCGGAGAATTTGAGGTTCTTAGACTGACAAAGCAAAACGTAGGAAACACATGTGTGGGGGAGGAAGTCATCTAGGAAGGTGAAGCCCATCACAAGAGAGGTGCTGAGTGCTTAGCACTGCTCAAAGCCATGTCCTTCAGGTGAGCCGTGAATCTGTATCTTGCTTTTCATTTCTTCTTTCCCCCCAGCACGGTGGATGTTTGAGCTGGATTCAGCATTGCCACCACCTTCCAGAGCTGTTCCTAACGGCGACACCAGGGGCCTGGATAACAGCATGGGCCCTGCCAAACTAGGCATCCATATCGGTCATAGCAGCAACACCAATATCGCCTTCCTGGGTAGGGGGGTCTACAGTCAAGCTGGCCCGGGTAATGCAGGTCTTCAATCATGTCCAGGCTGTCAAACATCTTGCTGTGCTGGAGGCGAACCTGAAACACAGCAGGGAGCAGGGGAAACGTGACACATGTGCAGTTCTTAAAGACTCAAGGGTCAAAACCTGGCTGCAACTCTGAAGGAAATCTGGCAGGGACCCACAGACTGGGGGACGGAGCAGGGAAATGCAGACCTCAGTCCTCCTTTCTGCCTGTGTTGCTGCTCTCCTTTCCTCCACCTCTTCTCTATGCTCCACTTGTGCTCACCTTCTCCCCCAAACAACAACTTTGAAGTCTTCCTATGCCTGCAAAATCCTAGCTGGAAAGCAGGCTCCAGGGATGTGTGGGGCAGCTGCAGCAGGTGTGGGGAAGGGAACCTTTAGTCCAGTCCTTGGCAGCCCCTGGCCCAATGGCACAGGCACAGTCCTGGGATGTGGGGAATGTGCATTCACTTCAGGACCCAGAACCCACGTATTCCTCTGTCTCCTATCCCTAGGATCTGGGGACCAAAGATGGACTCCTATTCTGCAGCTTGTTGCATTGCAGGAGGATTCATCCTTAGGTAGGCAGTTTCCAGTTAGGATCCCAAATTCCTGGGCAAAAACTGGGCTGTGGGGTATCACCCCAGTTGGGAAAAGTAGTGGGATGTCAGATATTGCTCCCACTCTGTGGAAATTGCAAAGCCTGCACATGCTGCCTGGTTTGGATTGGAGGAGCTTGAGTCTCTTCATCTGAGCAAAGGAGGCCCTGGACATCAGACTCAGAGATTTAGGATTTGGCTTGTCACTCCTGACTGTGCACTCCTACACTTTGCACAAAACATGGCACAGCATCACCCCAGCTGGGTCCCTCTTGCACTCTGGCCATTAGTGTCCAAAATGCCCTTGAAATGCCAACTTCAGCTGTGGGCTCCCTAATACTTGCCACCCACCAACTGCAATGAAAGCAACATAAATAAGAGAATCACCCTGAGCAATACAGGAGGTCTAGTACATTTAGAGTCAAACCTTATTGCTGGTTGCAATGACAGTCATAGAAAGGCCAACTGGGTACCAGCTCTTCTCTGTCCCTTGCTGCAGCCTCCTTAAGCTGCTTTGCGACCAGCCCCTCTCCAGCCCCCTTACCCTCAAAGCCCTTACTGACATGGTTCGTTTCATGGAAAATTGCCACTTCACATGAAGTTTGGAAAATGATTCATGTAGGCTGGGGTAAGGGCATGTGCGGAAAATGTATAGACATTGATCCCTTGTGGGTCAGCAAGGAATACATAAGAAAATAGGTCTTCTCGGAGGAAAATGGCAGGGCTAGCAGTTGGTTTCAAAGCAATTTCACTGACTCTGAGCATCTGAGCATTTGTACTTGATATTTCTAATCACACACACAAAACCCAGCGGGTCAAGTGATTCTCTTCATCATTTATCCCTTCTCCAATAATATCGAGTAGCTCTTGCTTCCGAAAGCAGGCAGATAATATGGAAAGGATGCCCTGTGGAATGTCTTCTGTGCCCAACTAAGTTAAAAGCTGGTTGTGATTTTTTCAGTCAAAATGATTAAAACACAAAAAACTTTAGTGAGAAAAATAACAACAAGCATCCCAAATTCCCATGTTTCTTTCAAATTCCTGTCTTTTCGTTGAAAGCTCTTGCAGTTCTTTAGTACCCTAAAGGCTTCTGCATTTCTTCAGTACCCCTTAGTACTCTAAAATATCCTAGAGTATATGTACAAGATTCAGTCCTAATGTTAAAAGATTGTTTAACCCAGTATCCCCATAGTTAAAAGAGATCAAGGTGAATTGGACTTACCTGATTCCCTACAGAGTAAAACGAGAAAGGCAAGTAGAGAGCACTGGTTTGCAAGCCCTTTTATACAGCTTCTTACGCTGCTTGCTGCATCTGAAACACCCTTGTTTTGCTCATCAGATGCAAAACGTTCTGTTGTGGATGTCACGCCTTTAATTGAAATAATTGTTTTCCTTGTTTTTTTCATGATTAGTATCTGTTGTCTGCTTCCTGGTATACCATGTGCACATTCCAAGTTTTCCATTCAAAAAATGTCTTGGCCAACTACATTCCTGGTCTTATGGAGATGACTTCACAGAGGTGACACTGGGAGGGGAGGGTGAAAATTGCTGACAATCAGAGTTTGCGATGTTTTAAGGTGAGTGGACTTTCCCATTAAGATTTGATTTTTTAGGACCTTTCAACTGCAGAGTAGAGGTATTTTTTTTTCCATTTGAGCAACCTGTAACCTCTTATAACAAAGCTCTCCACTTTGTATTATCTACTGAACTTGTCCATGTGCCATCTCCACTAGCAGATAAGAAATGTCCACACTTGCTTTTTCCTCAGCAGAATTCTCCTCTTCCTGCACAAATAGGTGAAGTGAAAGGAGATGGCAACATGATGCCTGCGATCATGGGGTACTTCAGAAGATGGTCCAGAAGAAGCTTGACCCAGAAAACCAAGAATCATGAAAGCCAAACATGGACGTGGCTCTGAAATAAATATGCTCTTGTTCATGATACATTTAGAAGTCCAAAATACAGATATTAATGAAGTGGGCAGACCACCAAAGTGATCTTGAAGACAATCTCACAGGCCTCGCTCAGTCGGTTGCAAGTTGCACATGGAGCAGTCAGGGCTATCGGGTGTCTAAAATCATTTACTGCCAATAAAGTGACCTTCACCTCAGTGTGCCACTACTTAGTTGAACAGAGAACAGGGCACCGGTTATTTGATTGTTCTCAGAAATTGGGAACTAAAAGCACTTCATTAACGCTCATTAAAGCTCTTACAGGGTCAAATCACTACATCCCTACAATGTTCATACTTTCCTGCAGGAAGAGACCCCT